CGTAAAATTTTAATGCGGCGCGAACTCAACTTTGGCCGATTCACAATGGGCGCAATGGCCGTTTCATTTGGCATAAACTCTAAATGTGGAGTTAGAGATTTGTAATGTTGTATGGTGCTCTTGAGGCAAAAGTAACATTTTGAATTTTTATTCTGAAATACTATTAGTTGACGTCCTAGAGAGCTGCACTTTGGCATGTAAAGGAGGGCGTGGCAGATCGAAAAATAGATCTGACAGAGTTTGGGCCGTGAATGAGTATTCTGCAGTCAGTAATGCCCAACTGCAACTTTATAGCTTGTTTCTAATTTATTTATACTTTATTTGAATTGAATTTTTTGTCAAGTTATATATCAAGTAAAAAATATTTAATGAATAGGAATTATATTTAAAAATAGAATAGGAAATAGGAATTATATAGAAAAATTGAAAGTTTATAAGGAATCAGAAGCTATTTTTCTGGCAAGGATTTACATTAGCTATCATAACTTATATAATAAATAATGCAAAGGTTTACCCTAGTAATTGCAGAGATTCTGCCAGAAAAATTCTTCATTTTCGCCACTGTACGGCGGTTGGTGGCTAGCGGCAGACGGCAAACGGAAGGTGGTGTATTTGGGCCAATTTCGAGTTATAGTAACAGTTTTTGTATTAGCTGTATAATTAGCTAACCAAATCAAGTTGTTTTTAATGGCTAACAGCAGCTGCTACAGAAAGATAGAGAGAGAGAGGGAGAGAGAGAGAGAGAGAGAGAGAGCTCTCAGCCTGAATTGTGCTTGGACTGAAATATTAGATCAATTGGTATGGTAATGGATATTATATCAAGTGCTTAACGAGGTGAGGGAGTGAGAGGGGGGCAGACAGAGCAGACAGAGACTCACAATATGGCATAGGTAATCAAATTTATTGCGATTATTACATATTCTGCATGATAATGCAGTGCCACTTGGCACTTGCCACATGCCACATGCCACATGCCGCTGGCATTTGCCACGGGGGCCACTGCCACTGTCAGTGTCAAGTGGTATGTGTGTGTGTTTGTGTGTGTGTGTGTGTGTGGCATGCATAATTTATGGCAAACAGTCTTTAGCTGCGGGGCCACTGCCTGCAGTCATGCAACTTGGCCACGCCTCCCCCGCCTCTGTGGCTAGCAAACAAATGCACAGCAGATGCGTCAATTTTGTGACAGGCAAGCTCAAGCCGAGGCCGGGCCCGAGACCGAGACCCAGAGCGAGACCAAGCCCTTGAGCCCGGGCGCACTGTTGTGCCGGGGCGTGGCACTTAATTGAGCAATTAATTGCAATTAGCCATTAAATGTTGTTGTTGATGCCAGCCGCAGCAGCAGCAGCAGCAACAGCAGCAACAGCGCCTGGATTTGCAGGGAACTCAACTCAGCTCAGCTCCTGCTGCTGCTGCCTGCCACTAGCTGCTCTGGCACATGCAACCGTTAATGGGCGACACTTTAGTGCCTACAAAGCTTCGATTATGGCCAAGAGCAAATGGCGACAAGGCCGCACGTAGTCCGCTAATGGCATTCATTAATATGGCCACGACAAAGAGATGCTGCTCCTGCTACTGCCCCTGCTCCTACTCCTGCTGCTGCTGCTGCTGCTGCTGTTAGCCAAATGGCAATCCACACTTGCCACGGATAATCAGACATGTGGCCAACTGAGGCGAGACTCTAAACACTTCAAGGCGTCGCCTACGTGATCTGATTTGCTCGCTTTATGGCCACCAAATACGAAATTCAACGAATTCATAGTTGAGCATGTCTGTATATGTGTGTGTGTGTGTGTATGTGTACGTGTGTCAAGGTCAGAGAGCGCAAAGAATTGCGTATACGCATAACTGAATATTTGAGTATTTATTATAGTCCATACAAACAACATTAATGTTGAGCTCTTCAATGGATGACCGTTTAGGGGCGTGGCCAGTCGAAAAATACCCAGTAATTTTTCACAGCTGGGGGCGTGGCACGCTGGGGGTGTGGCACATCGAATCTGACTATAATCTGGTTTTGCAGATGCAAATGGCAGTCTCGAATAGCTGATGCAATCAACTTTAAAGAGCAAAACTATTGAAGAATCAAAGATTTCGATTTGGACCTGCACATAACGTGGGAGTTACAGATGGCTAAGCACTGCTGGAGTAGAACTCAGTGGGGTGCCATCTCAATAGATAAAAGTGAGTTTTATGGGAAAAGAAATGTTTACTTGCAAAGAGAACGTTCCCAGTTGATAAGAAATCTAAATAGAAGATCAGTCCAATGCAGCTAAACTCAAACACAAACACTATCGCTGCCAAAGCTCTCTCGCATTTGGTTCATTCTGTGGCTGAATTCGTTCTGGGAATGCTAATTGAAATGCCGAATCGATTACGAAACTAATACAGTTTGCAAACTACTGCAGCAGAAATTATAAATGCGTTGCCCCTGGGCGTCAGTCTATATGGCAGCAGCCATTAAAAGTCTATCAATATTTGCAGAGCAAATAAATTTATGTAGATTCACACACACACACACACACATACACACATGCAGACAGGCACACACATACACATGCGCGTACTTGAAAACTTTTGGCCTATGATTGCTGCTGGCTGACAGCAGGAGTTGAGGTGAGTTGAGAGAGTAGAAAAGGAGATGAGATGAAGTGTGGTGAGGTGGAGTGGGCTGGAGTGGGCTGGAGTGGGCTGGAGTGGAATGTGGTGAGCTGAGCTAAGCTGGGCTGAGTGGCAAATAGTTATGAAGTCTGTGCATGTGTGTGTGTGTGTGTGTGTGGTGTTTGTTGGTATTGGTAAGTGCGAACAGTTCTGAAGGCAGTTCAATGCCGTTCAGCGGCACCGCCGGCCCGCCCCCCTCGGACAGCAGCCTCACGTGCTCCAGCATGATGCAAAGTTTTTGGCACATCAATAAACTAAACTTGAATGGAGTTTGGGGCGCGCCGACAGCTGGAAATGTGCCTTAAGCACGCCATGAATTATTTAGTTTCTGTTTACCTTCCACTCCATGGCCGTCGGCCGCTTTCATTTTATTTCGTTTTGTTGCCAGCCAGTTGCAACTTTTGGCCAATTGCGAGCACGTGCCGCACTGGCCACACTCGCCACACTCGCCACACTGGCCGCACTGGTCGCCGCCTTCTTGATTGTCCTTTAATATGCACCGCAAGGCGCCGCAGTTTGCGCCGTTTGCACTCTGCTTCCTTAAGTAATTGTCCTAATTGACCCGACGGACTGCCTCCTGGCTGCCAGCTAGGCCGCCTCTGGATGCTCCAAATTACCAGTCAAAGCTATCAAATTAACTATCCAATTTCCACAAAGTTTCGCCAAGCCGTCCGGCAATCACAATCGAAATCACATTAAGAAATTCGAGTCGCAGTCGAAATTTCATTAGGAAATTTCGAAGGACGAAAACAGCTGTTAAAGCTGCTTCAACATGCGCTCGAGTGCAAGAGAATCGCATAAAGAGCCGTAATGGTATTAGTGCATGGAAAAACGCAAAAAAAAAAAAAAAAACTTTAAGAAACTATCAATACTTGTAGATCTCATTGGAGTGCAGGACTTACATAGGGAAGTACTAATTTTTTATTGATATATCAATATAGGTCTCTATTGAGTAAATGAGAATCACAGAGAAAGGCTCTAAAGTAACATATGTAGAAGAGCTATTTTATAATTAATAAATGGAAAGCGTAATAGTTATATGTGTCATTAAAAACCTCACTTGCATGAGAATCGCAGAGATAGATAAATACTATAATGTAAAGAGCTTAAAGAGCCCCATATACATATATAACTATATCATCTTTCTCTGCGATTCTCATGCATGAGAATATAAGAGATATATGTAAGTATTGATCTTAAAGTTATTTATAATATTTATAGTCCAAACTTAAGTAGTAGAGAATCGCATAGAAAGGCGATGCAGTTATTTATTTACTTGGAAAAGCTTTAAGATTACCAAGATTATTATTAAAAACCTTTGACAGTCCAAAATAATCAATAGCTAAGGGCTTATTGAGCGAATTCATAATTTTGAAAGCTTTAAAATCAAAAACCCATTTCTAATTTGGCACCTGTGGCTGGGCGCACCTAAGCCTAGGCCAATTTAAGGGCTTACACGCTGTTTGGCTTCTAACAACTACACATCCTGCTGCCGCATGCCTCCCCCTGAGGGCTAATTTAGATGCCGGCTTAAAGTCAATTGTGGGGCTTGTGGTGGGTCACGAGAGGGGGAGTGGGAGGCGGAGTGAAATACTAAGCTCATTGGCTTCAGCTCAAGGTCCGATCTATGAATATTTTTCAATAGCAGCGCAGACCCACCAACAATTACAAATGTCAGAAGCCGTTGCAAAATAAGAAAAAATAATAAATAAATAAATAGAAAGAATCCCCTTGCCAGGGCGTGCCACGATGCCCTTTATAAGCTGCAGGAGCAACATCAGCTGGGGCGAGAGGCCACAAAACGCAGAATCAGTAGCCAGGTGCTATTGCTGCTCCTGCTGCTCCTGCTGCTGCTGCTGTGGCTGGGACTGCGGCTTTGGCTGTGGCATAAGCTGTTGGGGCTAAAGCTGTTGCCAACGTCAAGCCAAACCAAAGCCACTTATTGGTTGAACAAATTTAATTGGCAGCAGCAACAAGCAGGGCCAGCATCGAGGGGCGCACGCTAGGGCTGGGAGCCGTGCGCCCGGAGGAGCTCGGGGAGCTCGGGGACCTCGAGGAGCTGGTGGAGCTGGGGGCTGTGACAGCTACAATGCCAACGATACGTTAATGCAGGCTAAACTGCCGCCACGGTTGGCTGGCCCTAAGCCCGGCAGAAAGTCATTGCCAGAGTTTCATAAAATTCAATTGAGCTGCAAGTCGAAGTTGAAACATTTTTCTTTTCTCTTTCGCTCGTTTTTATTTTTCTCTCTCTCTCCTTTTAATGCTCCAATGACCTTAGCTGACAACTCACCTGGCCACACACACATTTAAGAACTTCTCGATTTCATCTCCTCTGCTTGCAGCCTGCTCAGCTGGACCGCACGAGAAGCGCCTCCTGCACGCTCTGCTGGACAACTACAACAGCTTGGAGCGACCCGTGGTCAACGAATCCGATCCACTGCAATTGAGTTTCGGTCTAACACTTATGCAAATCATCGATGTGGTGAGTACACACTAGAATAGTTTCACTCCATCTCTGTGCCGTGTTGTTGCAACTTGCAAGTGCACGGAAAATATAAATCGACGTAAATCCAGACGGAGTCAACAATCGAAACGTTATTTGAATGCTGTGTGATTTCAATATATATATCAAAATATTATTATTATTATTCTTATTGTCTCTTATTCTAACTGAAGTAACATTGAACAATATTTGCAAGTACTCCCAACTCTCGAAATCTCTTGCTTTAGCTAAATCAATCGCCGCTCTATGTGATTCTCATATTATATATGAATGTTGAATTGAATTTTTTGAATATTGATTTAGCGTGGCATACATATATTGGCAAAAGTTTCTATATTTCTCCCTTAGTTGCCTCTTCCTCTTCACCTAATCTCCAACGCCGCTCTATGTGCTTCTCATATGGTGTTTAAAGCGTAGCAGCCTAATTTTACTTGATCAATGATTATTTCTTTCGGCTTAAACTATGTTTCATATATACAGAGTATATTCTAGCTAATACAAACTGCCGTTCTATGCAATTCTCACACCTTATAAACATATATACAATTATTATATAATATCTCAAATGAAAATTTTCAATTTTCTATAGGCTTTCGTTTTTTTTAATACATTCAGAAACTTTTCTACTCCGTTCTATGTGATTTTCATATAGCATAAAGAGCATAAGAAACTCCAATGTCAAATTTAAATTGCGTTCTACCTACAAATCAGCTTATCGCCTACAGAATGTTTGTTAGCTACCGCTCTATGCAATTCTCATATAGTATTTCTTGCCACCTATGCGAGTATAGGGTATATTCTAGCTGATCAAGCTAAGCGACCAAGCTGAACCGAACTCGAATTTATTTTGCTGCGCGTCGATTTTTGGCTTGGCTAAAAGCTGAGCTCAGCTGACAGTCGGCAAACATTTGGTAAAATGATGGCACGACACCAATATCTGGACTGACATAGTGCCCCAGTACAAGCTACACTCTCCCTCTCTCTCTCTCTCTCCCTCCCTCTCTGTGCGTGTGTGTGTGTGTGTGTGTGAGTGTATTTATGTGCTTTCTGCACAGGCTTTGCCGATAAACGACATTATGCGCCAGAGATGCCAAACAACTAGCAAAGAGCCCGAAAACTCCAGCGACGCGTGCAAGACAACGGCACAAAATTATGCCATGAGTGCACATTATGGCCATTAGCCAGAAGTGCCAACTTGCCACCGTTGCTGGATTATTGTGGCAGCATCAGCAGAACGGAGCCCAAGTGCCGCCACTTGCCGCAAGTCGCAAAATTCGACAATTTACTCACCATGCTCGAGTTAAGAGTTGAGCCTGAAAGTATCGCCCATCTACCCGGCTCCCTAGAGCCAGGACCACAGCAGCAAATCGCCCGACTTCAAAAGTTGCCGGAACAATTCACAAATGGAGCATACGAGATGCTTTCACATCAGTTAATGGCAAACGGATTTGAGCTGAAACTGCTCTCAGATCTTTAATTATAGGTTGATGGCATGCTCAGATGCTTCTAGCCAGGTATTGTCCTAGTTGGATTCTAATTGGAGTTGCATCAAGTGGAGAAGCATCGACTCACTCAGCAAGAGTCATTGATGACCATTACTTGGGTAATAATTGTGTTATCCATAATATTTATATGCTGGAATTTTGTATAAGATATGCCATTCAATTAACAAATCTTAATTTTTTAATGAATGCTTCAATATTCAAACTGCTTTCGAATGATTTGAATACCTTAACAATTACTTAAGTAATGAATAATATTTAAATGCCTAAACATTCAAAATAAATATTATTATGCGATTTAATTTAATGGCATTTCATGTCTAAAAATTGTTCAAAAATATTATCAAAATTCCTATTAAATTTCATTCAATGTTGCCAACTTTAAATTGAAAATAAAAATCAATGGCAAAATATGGCAGCAAAATTAATGGAATCATCAACGCGATGATAGGTTGAACTTTTAGATGCCGTTGGCCTCTATTACACTCGATGGTCTCCTGGGCTATCTATATCTGTGTGTATGTGTGTGTGTGTGTTTGGGTGTTGCACTCGTGTATTTGTGAAATGTTGCAAGTTTGTATAAGCTCACCAGCTGAATGCAAATAGTGACAAAGCGACCGTAATTGGATGAAACGGAAATGAGGTAGAAGGAAGCGAACGGACGGAATCTCTGCTGCTGGTGGTGGTGCTGCTGCCCGCTGTGCATTTCACCTGATAAAGTGAGCTTCGAAGTGCGCTAATTAAAAGTGCCGTTACCCGCAAAAAACAGCTGCTCACGCCCGCTCACCTGGGCGCGCCCCTATTCGCCACAATTTACAAACGGTTTTTGATTACAAAGCAAGCGTTGAGTGTAGACTAAAAAAAAAGAAGAACGCAGGGAGATGCTGTTGCTGCTCCTTATAATCGTTCCCAGCTTTAGCTAGACAAAGGTGCACAGGCGAATGAGAAGAAGAAGCGACAGCAGGTGGAAAAAAACATGGCAGACAGCTTAACAAAACCACAATACAGCAGCCGCACGAGCGACGATAACGGCTAACGAGTAACCAGAAGCCAGTGTAGAAAGTGGAGAGTAGGAAATGGAGAATGGAGAGTGGAGAGTTATTGGCGGTTAGTGGAGAATTTAAAACGAAGTGCCGAACGAAGAGTGGAGAGTTCAGATTGGAGAGTGTAGAGTTGATAGTTAAGAGTGGAGTTTGGAGACTGGCTAGTAGAGAGTGGCTGTTGGAGAGTAGTAAGTGAAGAATGTTGAGTGGATAGTGGAGAGTGGATAGAGGATAGTCTGAAGTAGAGAGGAGAGTAGAGAGTGGAGAGGAGGTAGTTGATAGTGGGCAAGGGAGTGGAGAGTGGATAGTCGATAGTAGAGAGTGGTAAGTGAAGGATGAAGAGTGGACTGTGAGGAATGGAAAATGGATAGTGGAGAATGTAGAGTGTAGAGCGGTTCGTGAAGAGTGGTAAGTAGTAAGAGGAGAGTGAAGAGTACATAATGGATAATGGAGAGTGGAGAGCAATTTGTCGAGAGTGGCAAGTGGAGAATGGAGAGTGGATAATGGAGAATTGGAAATGAATAGTGGAGACTGGAGGGTAAAGAAGGGTTAGTGGAGAGAGTTTTGTGAAGTGTTTGGTGGAGAGTAATTAGTGGGAAGTGGAGAGTGGAGTATTCTTTATTCCTATTTCCTTCCCTCTCACTCTCTATCTCTCTCTCTCTATCTCTCTCTCTCCAACAGTCTAGTGAAGCAAATGAGCTTCTCCTTGGGAGCAATGACGGTCAAGTGTGTCGTGGGAGGCCAGCGATTACACGCAAAGTGAAGATAGCATTGTGTGCTTGGCCTTGGCCGGCTGCTAATTAAGTTGGAAGCCTGTGCCGAATCCCAGAGCCAGTTAATAACATTTCGCGGGCTGGAATTGAACGAACGTAGGCGACGGCACTTGACAGTGCTGTTGTAATGTGCTGTGCCAAGGGACAGGGCAACTGGCATTGGGAGTGGGGTTGGTCTGGGACCGGAATTGGGTTTTGGGCTTGGGTAAGCGTTTTGGTTCTCGAATGCCCGCCAATGGCAATTCAGTGCTTTGACTTTGGCTAATAAAAGCATCGCATTGTTTGACAATTTGCCATTGCAGACTTTTGGGACTTGTGTTGGCCCACTAGAAGGCAACACTCGCTCTCCCACTCCCACTCCCACTCCGACTCGCACTCCCACTCCCACTCTCTCTCGCTCTCTCTCTTTTTCACTCTGCCATTCTCAGTGTAGTGCACTAGTAAATTACAAACATAAATCACTTGATAAGTGACGCTTACGCTGCCCCCAGGCAGCCGGGCTGCCAGCCTGACTGGCTGCTGCTGCTGCGGCTGCTGCTGCTGCTGCTGTTCGTGCCGCATGTGCAGCGGCTTGTAGGAGCAGAAACTTATCAGCTAAACAGCAATCAGGTCAGCAATAGCAACAGCCAAGTACTCATCCCAATGGCTATATGTGGGCGTATCACATGTGCATATACATGTGTGTGTGTGTGTGTGTGTGTATGCGTGTGTGTCTTTGTGCAGTTGCACATCTTTTTGTTAAGTTCACTCGAACATAAATTTCTTTAGAATTGTCAATGGTAGCAGCTGCAGCGCCGAAAACCCGCCAGGTCTCCAGTGCGTGTCATACTCTCTCTCTCTCTCTCTCTCTCTCTCTCGCTTCGATTCTTGCCTGAACACATTTATATGTAGTATACACATATATATATGTATATATATATAAATACTCTGTGTGTGCTTTGCTACATACTTGCCTTTTTAGTATCCACCCACAGACGCGCTGTCATTTGTGCAGCACTTTTGTTGCACTTTGCACTTGGCATTTAATGGATGCAGCATTGTGCTGCAAAGAGAATGAAACTAAAAAGTAAATGTTGCAAGTAGGTGGCAACTGGCGACGACGACTGTGCGGTCGCAGCCACAAGGAACCAACCGAACATGCTACACGCTGCGTATGAGTGATTTTTATGCATCAACAATATTTGTCACACTCGAGATGACTGCGACAGCTGAGCCCTGCGTAAGTGCGTGGGCGTTGATTGTTTAATGACATCATTCAGTCTAAATGATTTTTTCACTGCTTGCACTCAATTTTGTATTTATTCTTATTTTTTCGGTGCAGCATTTCTTTCGTTTCACAAAACATTTCGCATCGATTTTGAGTGCAAATATTTAAATTTAGCTTGCGGTCAAGTTAACTTGTTACTCCCAGCTGATGTCCCGCTGTCAGTGTCTATGTCCTTCTCCCTCTCCCTCTCTCGCTCTCTGTCTGTCTGTCTCTTTTGGTGGGTGGCTTTATAGCCTGCGTCATGTCTGCGGCAGAAAATTGTGTGTGTCTCTCGGCTCTGTCTGTATTTTAAAGTAATTTTTATGCTGCTTTATGTGGGACGTGCCTTTTACGCAATTTGTCTACATTTAGACCACCCCTGCCGCCACCCCTGCCGATGCCAGCCTCCTGCGCC